CAATCCAGAAGCACAATTGGCTGGAGGTCTGCAAACTCAACCATTGCGCCCGCAATTTTCTCTAAAATGCGTTTCATTTTGGCCACGTTGTTCCACCCAGACTTTTCACGCCAAAACTCAACAGTGTTGGGCTTGCACAAGTCTGAAGATTTCAAGGCCCAAGCTGGGACCACACGCTCGTTGCACAAGAAGATTTGTGGCAACTTTGGTTGAACGCGTTCTAAGTTTGCAATCATGGCCACATGGGTCACAGCACCTCTCCGTTGGCCCTTTGGAAGTGGTCGACGTGGAGCAAGCTTTCCAAGCCACAATCGCCTCGGCGCAATGAAACCAGCAGGTCTCTTCATAAAGCGTGGCAAGCTTGTCTCATCCAAATTGATGAAACATGGGCTCTTGCCAGCAGCGGCAGATTCTTGCGCCAAGTAGTCGATCCAATGCCAAAACGTTTTCACCTACCAGGGCCGAAGGTTGTCAAAAAGTGCAATCTTTTTTGAAGCCAAAAACGTGCTCGGAAATTGAACCCATTTTTGGCTTCGCATCTTTCCGGCTAATTAAACCCAGGACCCAAATCTGAAGCCAAAAGTGGCTTCTCCCTTTGGCCTTTTGAATTCCCTGCCTTGGGCGCCACCTGCGCGTGAGTCAAAGGCTCCGCCTCCTGCATGCTGCCTCGTTTCAAGCCCCACTTTTTTTTTCATAGATTGGCACCATTTCCGAGCCATTCTGCCCAACCTGACCCCACGTCCTGCGCGAGGCGGGTCTACTGTGAAGCGGGCTTCCAAACCAAAGCGTCGGAGCTCTGCGCAATACCGGTCCACGAGATGGCACCCTGTGGGCGCTTGACCTGCCCGGAAATTCTGCGAGGCTACCCAGAAAGCAGTGCGCCTCTCTGCCAAAAACTTGACGGCTTCACTTCGTATAGAACGGTCTTCACATGTCTCCGGCGCCAAAACACCAACAACCGTGTCCATGTCAGCATCCAGAAACCATTGACGGATGGGATAGGGCGACTTGTCCACAGCACCCCAGCTCTGCTTTCGCTTCTTCGAGGATCGCATTGCAAATTCAACCGCGCAGTCCTGATCATACTGGCTCAGCACATACACTGCCAGGACCTCGCGCACCGTTCGAGGCGTCAATCCGCACAAGCGCTCTGCTTGGCGCGCACGGCTGCCCCTCCGCTGCTCACATTTGATGGCACGTCTCACGCTTCGAAGCTCCTGCAAAACATCCCTCTGCATCAAACACTTACCTACCACCCTGGGCCAGCTGACGCAGCACAGCAAGAGCTAAAACAGAGCAAAACTCTGCAAAACACAAGCTCTGCACGCTATACACATGACGGACAATTAGAAGGGCCACAGAAAACTGGTGAGTTGGACTGGTTGCCTGCAGATTACCACACAACATTCGCCGGGCGATAGAGATGGCGAATGCAACGAGCACAGCCAACTGTCTTACTTACAACAAAGATGCGCAGGTTAAGCACACCAGCACAGCTCCAACCAAACCTTTCCAGAAGCACAACCCTGTAGAAATCCACGCCCTTGCTCTTTCCAAAATTCTCTCTGACCGCGCGCGCGCGGGCATCCACTAGGTTTGCAAAACAATTGAGCAACATCCGCAATCAACAGGGGGGGTACCGCAACAAGTCGCTAAAACCAACGCACGTTTTGAAGCTTTTTTTCGGTCCTCCCTAATTGCATCCATGCGTTGCTCCATGGCTGGCGCCTGTGCGCCAATAAGAGGGCGCCATGCTAAAACAATGAAATCTGGCGCGCTGCTAGGGCCAACGACAGCTTGCTCCCAATGGCCGATTGTCTCCAGGTGAGCGCCCACCGCTTGGACTCAGACCCAGCAAATCACCTGGCGCAGGGACAAATGAGAGCACAGGCATGTGTCTTGTTTTCTGCTGCGCATTCCACAAACAAGAACAACTGAAATCTGACGGTTCTGGAGCAGCTTGCTGAGCGCAATTTTACGTGACATTGGCTGCAAGCGAGTTTATGACCCAAATTCCGAATTAGAAGCCAGCTGAACCAGAACTCTGTTTCCTGGGTTAGCCAACCAGTCATGCTGTTCAAGAAATTGCAAATTCTTGGTGGAAAAGTTTATTGTGGCAACGACTGGCACTCCAAAGAGATCACGGTGGTAGGCACAAGTGCCTCCAGCCGTTGACCCAAACTCCACCAAGCAGTCATATTTGCCCTGCAGCTTTTCCTGGTGGTTCACCAGGAATTGAAGGTCCCTCACATCATCTAAGACCAAGCCATCATGATGCCCCCGCTTGAATTGCCGCATGGTCTCAGGAAAGAACTCTAAGGTTCCGATCTTCAACTCCAAAGGCTGTTGGAAAAGACTTTTTTGCCCATTCAGTCTTTCCCGAGCGAGAAGCTCCCAATACAACCAAGATGGGGTAACGCAAGGCATCATGCTCAAAGAGCTTCAGCCAAGCCTGGGCTTCAGGTACTTGAGGGAACGGCTTGTACAGCTGAGGGTTTGACCGAATCCGAACCACCCGCTCCTCAACGGCAGCTCTCGAAGCAATTGCTTCTTCGCGGTCAAGGCAAGCTTGCAAATTCCTTTGGCGTGAGAGCACACCATCCCTAGTCAAGAACAGGAGCTTTTCGTAGACCTCAGTGGTGATTTTCCGCTGTTTCCACAGCGTCTCGGGCCATTTGCCTAGGACTTGGTAGGTTTTGGCACAATCGGTCCAGCATGGCGTATAGTTGCCGTCCGTAAAAGGCTTGTTGTCTGGCGCAAAGATAGTGCCAATTTTGTCTGCCCAGACGTAGAACATTCCACGGTCAACACTTCTTTGGAAATGTTTCTTTGACAGGCCTTCTCCGCAGACATCAGTGGCGCACGCATTGGGTCGAGCGCTGTTGAAGATAAAGCCATCGACGCCGCGGCTGTCTGAGGCGCTGGCAAATTGCAACATGAGATGCACATGCGGTTGTCCAGAACCACACCTTTCCATACTTGCACACCAATGGATGACACCCCAAGCTGGCACTTGAAGTTGCACCCAAGCTAAGAAGCCTCGCCAATCAAGCTCTGCAATTCCATGGTAGGTGAGGAGCACAGCAGGGGAACGGATCATGTAAGCTCGAGATCGAGGAGCCTGCTTACCCAAAACTGGCAGGATGCCAGTTGGTTGGGATGCGTTTGATTTACTTGATGTTGGCTGACGGTCATATTTTCTAGGCCGTCCACTCTGCGCCTTCTTTTTGGCTAGCAACCATTTTTTCTCGAGCATCTTGCAAGCGCTGAGCATGCGCAACTTCCCCACCTTTGTCAGGATGGACTTTCTTCACGACTCTGCGGAAAGCCTTTTCCACGTCTTGGTCAGAGCTGTCTCGTTTGACCATTGCCGACACATTGTACTGCCTAGCCAGCGCTAGCAAAAGGGACACCAAGGCCCGCTTTGCCAAAAGAGCTAGAGAAGCTACCATGCTTCGCGTCCAAAAAACTAACTTGAACAGCCACAAACTGCCGCAAAAAACAGCAAATGGAACACGTGCAGAGTACGCGACTTTTCTCTCCCCAATGAAATGAGCGCGGAGTAATTTCGCCCGGAATAAGAATACACTGTTGTTTGTCAGCAAAGCTAGTGTGAATACTACTCCGCGCTCTCGCGCACGCAAATTCTCCACTGCGGCTACGCGACACCAGTCACTCCACTTCCCACGCTAAGAGTCTACGGGGGTGAAGGGGTTGCCCACTTGCCATTGCCACCACACCTGGCCTCCGCAAAAGTCAGGGGCGGTTCAGGAGAGACACCTTACATGCACAAGGCTTGCGACGCGGAATCACGCTGGTTCCTTCCATCTTCTGAGAAGTGTACAGACTTCTAAGATAAACTCCGTCTATGAGGTTGCTAGTAAAAGAGCCTGTAGCTGAAGATGCAAAAACAAAACACTGACTGACTGCAGTGCTGAAGCTGTCAAAACTGGAAGCTGACGACTTGTCTGCGAAAAGTGCCAAGTGAGGCCCGGGCACACCACTCAAAATGTCAAAGTCCTTTCCGACGCGGCTCAAGACAGAGTAACTACACAGCGATAAACGCAAGTTAGGGCAACTGTCGCTGCAATTCTTGTTCAAAAAAAATGAACCGCGCTGAACCGCAACAGCCAGCTTAACTTTATCTTGTCAATATCGACGCCCTACTTGAGGGAAAGGTGGTGGTGGTGGGTTCTAATGAAAAGCCACTCTGTTGGTGTCAGACCTCTCCCGTCTACAAAAAAATCGTGCCAGGTGCCAAGGGGTCCGGTGGCAGAAGTGTCTACGATGAGAAGCGAGGGGGCAAAAGCCACCGTCGCAGACTTATTCACTGACGCAGGCCAGATCTCTGTAAATCACAGACCGGCCCAGAGAATGGTGGGTAGGGTTTTT